AAAGATGACCAAGGAAGATTTCTGGCAATTGAAATTCAAGTTCAAGGAGAGAAATTTTTGATAGTAGGAATTTATGCACCGAATGAGGGGAAATCTGAATTCTTTAAAAAGTTGCATGAGACTTTATTGGATTATTTGGATTACAATCTGATTTTGATGGGGGACATGAATGGAGTAGTATCTACAAACATGGATAAGGCACAAAGACAGGTAGTTACCAAGGATGGTAGACTACCGAAAACATTCTTTGAGATGACAGACAATTTTGATTTAGTGGACACTTGGAGAACAAAGAACCCCTTGGGAAGAGAGGGAACCTTCTTTTCTGAAGCTAAGATGACATGGACTAGAATTGACCAAATATGGGTAACTAGAGGAATGGCACCAAAGATAAAGAAAGTGGAAATCTGCCCAAAAACCTGCTCTGACCATAATGCGGTAAGGATGGAGTTGAAATTAACATCAACTGGCTCCTTCAGATGGAGGATGAATGACACCTTATTCAGGGATGAAGAAGTGTATAAAAAGGCCCGAAAAACCTTGAGAGACTATTTTGAAATAAACATGAATACTAATGTAGAAAAAAGAGTAATCTGGGACGCAAGTAAAGCTGTCATGAGAGGGTTTCTGATACAACAGAATGCAATAAAGAAGAGAAGTCAAAATGAGAAGAAAGACAAAATTTTGGGGAAAATAAAAGAAAGTGAAAAGAAATTGAGAGCAAAACCAAAGTCGCAGGAGATTTTGAGAGAAATAAAGTTATACCAAGTACAATATATGGAAATGATGAATCAGGAAATAGAATGGAAAATTAAACAAATGAGACAAAAAACAAATGTGGGAAATTGCTGGCCTGGCAAATGAAAAAAAGACAAAAATTAAATACTATTACAAATTTAGAAGTGGAAGGAAAGAATATACATAACCCAACTGAGATTAGAAACTGTTTCCAGAGGTATTTTAAACAACTATATATACAAGGGCCACAGAAAGAAATGGATATAGACCGATTTTTGAAGACAAATGGATTACAAAAAATATCCCAGGAAAGTAAATTAATGTTGAACTACAAAATATCTGAACAGGAAGTAGAAGGTGCCATTCAAAACATGCAATTAGGCAAATCTCCAGGACCGGATGGGCTGACTTCTAGATATTATAGATCTTTGAAAGAGTGGCTATTACAACCTTTAAAGGAAGTCTGCAATGAAATATTGGAAGGGAAAAAGGCACCAGAGTCTTGGAAAGAGGCGTACATTACACTTATACTGAAGACAGAGACTGAAAAGACTCAGCTTAAGAACTACCGCCCCATATCATTACTTAATGTGGATTACAAAATTTTTGCAGACATTTTGGCCAAGAGATTGAAAAAAGTATTGATGGAAGAGATTCATAAAGACCAAGCGGGCTTTCTCCCGGGAAGACACTTGTCCGATAATTTGAGGAATATAATTGATATTCTGGAAAAATTAGAAGTGAACATAAATACCAAAGCAGTTTTGATATTTGTGGACGCGGACAAAGCCTTTGATAATATCTCTTGGAGTTTTATGAAGAAGAACCTACAGGGGATGGGGGTAGGCCAAGGGTTTGAAAACGGTGCAATTTATTCAGAGCAAAAGGCTAAACTAATTGTAAATAATGTGGTGACGGAAGAATTTAGGATAGAAAAAGGGACAAGACAAGGTTGCCCAATTTCCCCATTGCTTTTTATATCGGTCCTGGAGGTTCTGCTGAATATGATTAGAAGGGACCGGTTGGTTAAAGGTATACAGGTCGGAGCCAAACAGTACAAATTGAGAGCATTTGCAGACGACTTAGTATTGACGTTACAGGAGCCAGAATCTAGTACCAAAAGAGTTTTAGAACTGATTCAAGAATTTGGTCAAGTTGCAGGGTTTAAGCTGAATAAGTTAAAGACCAAGGTTTTAGAGAAAAATTTAACACCAATGGAGAGAGAAAGGTTTCAGAATGAGACAGGTTTAACAGTGGTTAAGAAAGTTAAATACTTGGGGATTAACATGACAGCAAAAATGGGAATCTATTTAAAGACAACGATGAAAAATGCTGGGCTGAAGGGAAAAAGATTTAGAAATTTGGTCAAATTTGAAGCTTTCACTGCTGGGCCGTATCGCTGCGGTAAAAATGAATGTATTGCCTAGAATGTTGTTTTTGTTTCAAACATTGCAAATTGTGGACAAAATGGACTGTTTCAAGAGGTGGCAGAGAGATATTTCTAAATTTGTCTGGCAGGGCAAGAAGCCTAGAATAAAGTTTAAAATATTAACAGATGCAAAGGAAAGAGGTGGATTTGCCCTGCCAGACTTTAAACTTTACTATGAATCAGCAGCTTTTTGCTGGTTGAAAGAATGGTAGCTTCTTGAAAACACTGACATTTTGGATTTAGAAGGTTTCAACAATGTATTTGGATGGCATGCATATCTGTGGAATGATAAGGTCAAAGCACATAAAGCATTTAAAAATCACATTGTCAGGAAGGCATTGTTTAATGTCTGGATAAGATACAAGGACTTATTGGAAAATAAAACCCCAAGGTGGCTGTCACCGATGGAAGCAAAAGCTCTGAAAAAGCTCAATATGGAGGCCAAATGGCCGAAATATTGGGAAATTTTGGAACAAGACGGAGATAGATTGAAATTGCAGAGTTTTGAGAAATTAAAACCAACGTGCGAGACTGTCTTCATTACTATCAGATAATGGAGGCATATAATTTGGATAAGAAAATTGGTTTCCAGGTGGAAAAATCAAAATTAGAAACAGAACTATTAGAACCCAAAACTAAGATTTTGTCAAAGATGTATAACTTGCTGTTGAAATGGAATACTCAGGATGAAACGGTGAAATCTGCTATGATTAAATGGGCACAAGATGTTGGACATAACATAATGATGGCTGACTGGGAACAGTTATGGACCACAGGTATGAAGTTTACGGCATGTAATGCCTTAAGAGAGAATATTATGAAAATGATATACAGGTGGTACATGACCCCAGTCAAGCTTGCAAAAATTTATCATTTGCCCGATAACAAATGTTGGAAATGTAAAGAAACTGAAGGTACATTCTTTCACCTTTGGTGGACGTGCCCAAGGATTAAGGCTTTCTGGGAAATGATATATAATGAATTGAAAAAGGTATTTAAATATACCTTCTTGAAGAAACCAGAGGCCTTTCTCCTAGGCATAGTCGGCCAATTGGTGCCAAAGAAGGACAGAACTTTTTTTATGTATGCCACAACAGCAGCAAGAATACTCATTGCAAAGTATTGGAAGACACAAGATCTACCCACCTTGGAAGAATGGCAAATGAAACTGATGGACTATATGGAACTGGCAGAAATGACTGGCAGAATCCGAGACCAGGGAGAAGAGTCGGTGGAAGAAGATTGGAAGAAATTCAAAGACTATCTACAGAAATATTGTAAAATTAATGAATGTTAGAATGATGTTGGATAGAAATTAAGTGGTTTCCAGCTGTAATGCTTTAAGGGAATATGAAAAATGGGTTGTTAATAGGTAAAAATCTAACGTTACTATTTTAAGACCAAAGATTAGGATAAACAAAGAGGGTAAGGATTTGCTGAACCAACAAATTGAACTGGAATACAAAAAAGGGAGGTATGAGGAGGTCCGGGAAACAAGCTAATGAAAAATATGTAATGGAAAAATTGAGTGATGTTTTTTTTTTAATCATTTTTATTTTGTATTTTGTATCTTTTCCTTTTTTTCTTTATTTTCTTTTTTGTCATTTTTATATTTACATTTGGAAAATTTCAATAAATATCTTATATTAAAAAAAAAGAAAAATAGCAATGATGGATGTCAAAGTTGCATATCAAGGGGACGGGTTTTGCTTTCCCACAATTAAACTTTGTTGTTTAGTCGTGTCCGACTCTTTGTGACCCCATGGACCAGAGCACGCCAGGCACTCCTGTCTTCCACTGCCTCCTGCAGTTTGGTCGAACTCATGTTCATAGCTTCGAGAACACTGTCCAGCCATCTCATCCTCTGTCGTCCCCTTCTCCTTATGCCCTCAATCTTTCCCAACATTTTCCAGGGAGTCTTCTCTTCTCATGAGGCGGTCAATGTATTGGAGCCTCAGCTTCAGGATCTGTCCTTCCAGTGAGCACTCAGGGCTGATTTCCTTAAGAATGGATAGGTTTGACTGCTGTTTATTCCTTTATGTATTTATTTAGTCAGAAAATGGGTGAGTGTCGGCCACAAGTGGGCCTCATTCAGAAAGGTTTCTGTTGGTAGTGGTGGAGATCACAACCGTAAAGACCCTCACTGCCTTTCTCAAAGGGAGGCATTGGGAGAAGGGTCTCAGATGATGTTCAGAAGGTCCAGCTTTATTCTTGTTAGGAGAGGCAGTCGGTTCAACACATTCCGGAAAGACATCTGTTCCATGGTGTACCCATAGCAAAGGAGAAGTTGTTAAAAAGCTTTGTGAGAAGGTACCGGTCCATGATGCGGGTGGTGCTGTGGGTTAAACCACAGAGCCTAGGACTTGCCAATCAGAAGGTCAGCGGTTCGAATCCCTGCGACGGGGTGAGCTCCCATTGTTCGGTCCCCGCTCCTGCCAACCTAGCAGTTCGAAAGCACGTCAAAGTGCAAGTAGATAAATAGGTACCACTCTGGCGGGAAGGTAAACGGCATTTCCGTGTGTTGCTCTGGTTCGCCAGAAGTGGCTTTGTCATGCTGGCCACATGTGAGCCAGTAAAGTGAGATGAGCACCGCAACCCCAGAGTCATTCACGACTGGACCTAATGGTCAGAGGTCCCTTTACCTTTACCAGTCCATAAGGAGCTGGTGTTCTTTGATGGTCCAAGTCTTTCATGATCTACAAATGGGTATAAACATAGGCAGCTGCCTTATACTGGAGGAGAGCATCGGTTCCTCCAGTTCAGCATGGTCTACACACAAAGCAGCTGTGGTTCCGCAGGGTTTAAGGCAAAGGTCTCCCCCAGTCCTCGTACCTGGAGATGTCAGGAATTGAACCAGGGACCTTTTGCATGCAAAGCAGATGTTGTGCCACTGATCTACAGCCCTTCTCTTGATAGAAATGTCTGGGAAAGAGAGAGAGGAAGAAAGGCAAGGGCAGCTTGAGAAGGCACCACAGGGGCAAGCAAATCAGTTGGCAGCGTTGTTATGTTTCTGTTTGGAGGTTAACTCTGACTTGCTCAGCTCAAGTCATTCCATGGCTGAGAGCGGATTCTCGATTTGACCTCCTCAAATTGAATGTTCACTTTAGCCTAGATTTGCAGAGCTATTTGTTAATGCTTGCATACAGGGGCTGTTTTCTCCAGGGTTTTAAAGAAAAAACTCATTTCAATGTAAAATTCACAGCATCAAATTGAAATTTATTTTGAGAAGAGTTAGCGTTCCTGATTTTCAGGCGCACACAATCACGTCTATGTCAGATGGTAATTACACTTTTTTTGTGCATCAGCTGCCTGTACAGAGAGGGGGAAAATGGAAGATAATGTTGTTCCATTGAACTATTGAAAGTTCTTTTGTTGCTCTTCGCCCAGGGAGATTCCGGACAGCCAAAGGAAAGAGGGCTCCATTTGAATCAATCTATTGCTGCAAACAAAAACATTAATATATTTTTTTAAAAAAAAACTCGGGCTCTTAGACAAAACTCTGGTTTCTTTCTCCAGCCTTTGCTTTTGTTGAAGGGGGTCATGATACTTACAAGCAAGCCTGCCGTAATGTTCTTCAGGAAAACCTATTGAAAATATTACTGTTACTCTCACTGCCTTTTGACAAGAAACGGAGGCCTGTCCAGCCCCTGGATAGAATTTCCTTAGTTATCTCTTACATGTACATCCTACTGTTCCCCCCAAAAATTCAGGGTCCTGCACACAGTTCTCTCTGCTCTGCTTTTCCCTCACACCAACCCTGTGAGGAAGATCATCTTGCAAAATAGGCAATGGACCAAGGGCATACAGGGAGTAATATTTCTACCCAGATCACCACATTCAGTTTAACCTCTAACCACTGGACAAAGTATGCACTAGAAGAGGAGAGGAAAGACTTTAGGCTTACAGTGTACTTTACCAGAGATGAATCGGTTGCTTTCAGTTCCTCAGTTTTAAGAACATAAGAGATTGTCGAAACAGGCCAATGGCCTGCCTAGTCCAAAATCCTGTTCTCACACTGCCCCCCCCCCCCAGGTATGTGAGGGAAACCTGCAAGCCAGAACTGAACACAAGAGCATTCTCTTCTCCTGTGGTTTCCAGAGACTATACAGTGGTACCTCGGGTTGCATATGCTTCAGGTTACATACGCTTCAGGTTACAGACTCCGCTAACACAGAAATAGTACCTCGGGTTAAGAACTTTGCTTCAGAATGAGAACAGAAATCGTGTTCCGGCGGCGCAGCAGCAGCAGGAGGCCCCATTAGCTAAAGTGGTGCTTCAGGTTAAGAACAGTTTCAGGTTAAGAACGGACCTCCGGAACAAATTAAGTACTTAACCCGAGGTACCACTGTATTGCCTCCAACCATAAAAGAATAGCACAGTGTCAGTCATGGATAGAAGCTGTTGATCGCCTTGTCCTCTATGAATTTGTCTAGGGACACGGGTGGCGCTATGGTCTAAACCACTGAGCCTCTTGGGCTTGCTGATCAGAAGGTCAGCAGTTCGAATCTCCATGACATGGTGAGCTCCCGTTGCTCGGTCCCAGCTCCTGCCAACCTAGCAGTTCGAAAGCAGACCAGTGCAAGTAGATAAATAGGTACCACTGTGGTGGGAAGATAAACAGCGTTTCCGTGCACTCTGATTTCTGTCATGGTGTCCCATTGTACCAGAAGTGGTTTAGTCCTGCTGGCCACATGACCCGGAAAGCTGTCTGTGGACAAATGCCGGCTCCCTTGGCCTGAAAGTGAGATGAGCACCACAACCCCATAGTTGCCTTGCACCATTTACTGTCTCTCAGCCTATCCAACTTCACAGGGTTGTTGTGAGGATAAAATGAAAAGGGGAAGAACTATGTTTGCCACCTTGAGCAATTTGGGGCGAAAGTGGGGTATAAATGCAATAATAAATAAAAATAAAATAAAATATTCTGTTAAGGAGGGTGGAACTTTTTTCTGTGTTGCTCTGATACATTTGTCTGTGCAGATGAAAAACAAATCCAGATTTTCTTCCTTCTTTGCATGGCATACCTCATAAGAGAGTCCTGTGAGCATTTACCAAACATAAAACTTCATGAGTGAATTAGGATTCATAAGATGTGCATCAAACATGAAACACAACCAAGTTGTATACTTATCCTGTCTTCTGTCGTCTTCTTTGGCAATCACTAGTAACCAAGTAAGATTGTTTTCCATAAACACCGTTTTAACAGTGAGTCCGTAAGTGACTGTGGAGGCCAATTCTGGATCCACACGTCCTTCCACAGTGGGGGCCTGTTGGTTTTAATCATCTTTTGAATATGTTTAAATACCTCCTTTAATTGTTTTAAATTGATAATTTTAATGCTTTGTTTTAAATTTTTGTAAACAGCTTACAGGGGTTTTTTATTCGCATAAATTTTGTTAAAATAAATAAAACACACACATGCAGATTAGCAAGGAACTCTGCAAAATTGATACTGACAATAACTATTTCTCCTCTAATCCTATTTTCTTGAAGTTTGTGGATAATACTTGCAATGTTACAAAGTGTTCACCTTACAAACGAGATCATTTAGGAATGTCTTCAGCATTTCCCAATTCATTTTTGGATATGCTAAACTATTTTTTATCAGTTATTTAAGTTGCAATCATCCACATCCTGAACTCAGTGGCACTTATTATATAGACTATAATAGACTATATAGGATTGCATTGCTGACATATCTTGAGCTTTGCTGGAAGAAGGTATGCATTCACTACCTATGCAGATGAGTATAAAATTCAGATCTTCTTCATACTTTGGATGTGATTTCTTGCGAGAAATTGAGTTGATTAATGTGGATCTCTCTGATGCATTTTTCCCCCCTCTGGAGGGATTTTCTCTGTTTCCTTGGTCTCACTTTCTTGAACATTTTCTCTCCTTCTCGCCCTTTGATTCTGTATTGATTTTGACAGCGAAACATCCCTCTCGACTTGCCACACATCTTCTCTCAATATTCCTATCTCCTCCACATTTTTGACAAACTGGATTGCCATTTGAGCTCAACCTGCCGGTGGGTCATCAAATTCTCCAGAAGTCGTGCTTCTGAGCCATTCTACAACTGACCCACAGCTTCTGGCTCTCTTGTTACAGTATACAGTGGTACCTCGGGTTAAGTACTTAATTTGTTCCGGAGGTCTGTTCTTAACCTGAAACTGTTCTTAACCTGAAGCACCACTTTAGCTAATGGGGCCTCCTGCTGCTGCCGCACCGCCGGAGCACGATTTCTGTTCTCATCCTGAAGCAAAGTGCTTAACCTGAAGCACTATTTCTGGGTTAGCAGAGGCTGTAACCTGAAGCGTATGTAACCTGAAGCGTATGTAACCCGAGGTACCACTGTATATTAGGCTGAACTGCGTTGACGGACCTAGAGAAGACTAGGCAAGGATAGCAAATGTGGTGGTCTCCAGATCTATTGAGACTGCAGCTCCTAGGTTATTGGCCATGCCGATTAGGGTTTATGGAAATTCTAGCCCAAGGGCATCTGGACGACACGACATTGTCTATCCCTGAAATATGGAGGAAGAGAAAAGCAGGTTATAGAAAGATAGGACTTTCATTTAGAGTTTACGGTTAGCAGGCAACACTGTGTAGCCCAGATGCACACATATGACATCACACAGTGGAAGGAGGCACACTGGGGCCCCACGCACCCTCTGAAAGGCCCAATAGGGCCCTGCTCGCCTCATTGAAATGTTTTTAGGGGCCCCGGTCCCCATGGCCCTGCATAGATGGCGTGCCTGACTGTTGGTGAATAGTCTCTTTCAGGTATTCTCTTCACATATTGTTCTCTGGATGTGGAGGAGAAAGAGAAATATGTACCCTGGGGAAAGTCTTGAGGGCAAGTCAGAGTGGTCTGAAGGGCTGCATTTGGTCTCTGAGCTTGTGTCTCCCCACCCCAGATATACATTCAGGGCCGTCTTAACCATAGGCATTAGGGGTGTGGGGCACCCGGGCGCTGGGCTCTCAGGCGTGCCAGGCCAAGAGTCCGGGCCCGAGAGTTGGAGTCCGGGGAAGAACCCGACCGTTGAAGCGCCATGGCGGGCTCTTCTGCTGTGGGTGGCTCTGCGCCATGAGTTTGGGGGCGAGCGAGCCAGCGAGGATCATCTATTTTAACCCCCTGTGATACAGGATTATGTAGCTGTCCCTTACGGGAATCGAACCAGCAGCCTTGGCATTACCAGCACCATGCTCTAACCAACTGAGCTATACTTGCATGTTTGGCTTTAGCCCTGCCCACTGCCAGCTCTGCCTTCCTGCGTGCCTGGGATTGTCGTAGGGCCACGGAGAGGCCCACCCAGAATGTGCTGCCCACCTGACGAGGCACCTGGCCTAGCACTGCTGCCTCACGCTCCTCTGTGCCCTGCACACCCGGGGCCGAGGGAGGTGCTGAGGCAGCCTGCCAGCTCAGCCCTGCCCTACTTGCATGCCTCGACAGCCGGCCCAGAGTGTACTGCCCCCCTAAAAAAAGGTCAATAACTCTGGGGGGGGGGGCACTGGGTGGATTTTTGTACCCCAGTGCTGCATATGCTTAAGATATCCCTGTATACAGTGAGGGTGGGAAAACTCATGTTTTTTTAGCGGAAGGTTCATTCCCTTAGGGGTAATCTGATGGTGGGCAGGGCCAGAGCTGGCAGTGGGCAGGGCTAAAGCCAAACATGCAAGTATAGCTCAGTTGGTTAGAGCATGGTGCTGGTAATGCCAAGGCTGCTGGTTCGATTCCCATAATGGACAGCTGCATAATCCTGTATCCCAGGGGATTGGAATAGATGATCCTCAGGTTCCCTTCCAACTCTGTGATTCTCTGTTTCTGTGGTCAAGGCCAGATTCAGAAGTGGGTGGAGGCAACCCGTTTCTCTTTGTCTGCCAAATCCTTCAGACCCACACCCCACAAAATTAAGCAGGGGGGACACCCAGGTTGCCCCCCTGTTTTGCATGCACAAACATTCTGAGGGAGCTGTGAACGGGGCAGAAAACTTCCCAAAATGGCAACCTTAATCACACACCCTAACGTCATTTCCAAAGGCGTCCCTAGAATCTCTCCAAAGGACAAAAATAGGGAGAATGGCAATGTTTCACTAGAGGCAGGTGTCAGAAAAATGGGGAAGGCATTCCTTGTTAAACAGGAACAGATGAAATGTATGCCGCAGTTTGCCTTCTGACAAGATGCTTCAATGACGACCTCAGAGATGAAGACAGGAAGAAGGTCTCACCTCAGATGTTTCCTCGGAAGATAAGGGTTTTCCTTTGCAGCAAAGAACCTCAGACATCTCAAATAATGTATGTAGCTCTGGGGTGGTTTCTGACAGTGCAATATTGTGTATAATAACAATTACCAATGACCTCTATTAGGTTGTCCAGTCGCATTAAAACCAGCACATTTGGAACCTGCCACAGCCAATTTGCCTCAAGAGAGGTTTTATTCGGGCGATATGATAGAGCTGTAAAGCAATCTTTTTCATTTAAATAGTTTAATTGAGGAATGCTATCCAGTGTCTCAAAATTTAATGTATACAACAATTTGTTCCCTCTCCTCCTCCTCCTCCTCCTCCCTCTCTTTCTCTCTCTCTCTCTCTTTTTCAGAGCTGAGTTGGAAGAAAATGACATCTGATTCTTATAGTAAGAAAGCAATTACATTTTGGCGTCTGCTATGCCCATCTGCATATGTTTTTAAACATAAAAGAAATTCTTAATATGTAATTGTCAGGTAATAAAAAAGGGGGAAATATTTTACTTTGCATTTATGAAGTAATTTTTCAAAAGCATAAGGGAATTGCATCTTAATGCTCTTATGTTTATTACCACCCTGCTAATGCTACAAGTTCAGACATTTGGAAAAAAAGAGAGGAAAACATCGATAGACAGATAGATGCAAAGCTCACATCTAAGCATGATGATACACTCTAAAGTAATTAGGGAAAGGGAAAATTATAGAAGGAGTTATCTGTATACCGAGGCTCCAAGGGGTGATTCTGATGCTAGTGACATCAAGGAGAAAACTTTTGGCTAGTTCCAAGGGGTTGCAATTGAATATGATTCAGTGCCTAGGACTTGCCGATCGTAAGGTCGGCGGTTCGAATCCCCATGGTGGGGTGAGCTCCTGTCATTCGGTCCCAGCTCCTGCCCACCTAGCAGTTCGAAAGCACCCCTAAGTGCAAGTAGATAAATAGGGACCGCTTTATAGCGGGAAGGTAAACGGTGTTCCGTGTGCGGCGCTGGTGCTGGCTCGCCAGAGCAGCTTCATCACGCTGGCCACGTGACCCGGAAGTGTCTTCGGACAGCTCTGGCTCCCGGCCTCTTAAGCGAGATGAGCGCGCAACCCTAGAGTCGGATACGACTGGCCCGTACGGGCAGGGGGACCTTTACCTTTTAGAAGTGTCATTAACATTTAGGCCATTTGTTTCTCCCAACATAGAGGGCACTGCTCTGCTCCTTTTTCACCTTTCCTGACTTTTGATTCATTCCAGACCCATGTAGACATATGCATTGCACGCAAAAGGTCCCAATTCAAACCCTGGCAGACTGGGATCGTCCACAGTCTGAAATCCCAGAACGCTGCTGCCATTCAGTACAGACAATACTGATCTAGGTTGAACAACGGTTTGACACAGTAAAGGTGTGGGAATGTTAAGGATAGTAGGGCATAGCTGTCAACTTACAGATTTGAAAATAAGGGACCAGCAGCCTCAAAAATAAGGGATCAGCAGCCAAAATAAGGGATTTTCCGAACACAGGTATGTTCAACTTCTGAGCTCCTCCGAGCCAAAGACAGAAAGCCCAGCCAGCAGCCAAACGAAGCCTCAAGCGGTGGTTCCCACAGCGCAGCAACCCGGCAAAGGGGATGCAGCAAGGAAAACCACCGCCACCTTTCCGCTGGGAAGAGCTGAGCAAAGGCGAGCCCCCAGGCAACGCGGCCGATTTGATCAGCACAAGGCATGCAAGCTCCACCCCCAGTCGTTCTTAGACACCTTATTGAGTGAGTAACGCAGCCAAGCAACACAGTTGGAGCCTCCCTCCTCCCTGGCTGGCAGGGAGGGAGGGAGAGGAGCTGCTTCCTTTGAAACCCGGGAAATTTAAGGGACATCATCAATAAGGGACAGCAGCGGGACACGGCGTTGGTATAAGGGACTTTCCCACCAAATGAGGGACGGTTGACAGCTATGTAGAAGGAAGGATATGTTGAGCAAGTATTATCCTTCCCTCACTCACGCTAGGAAGTGATGTAGCAGAGAAGATTCCTGCAATACAGCTGGAGGCTGGTTTGCAGATTCGTTTAAATCTCTTAGTTAATATTATTTCCTGGTGTCCCTTTTTATCCCTCCTAAAAGAATAAAGACATGGGAGTCTTTTTGAGTAAAGTAACAAGAAGTTTACTCACCTTTCAGTTCACGATATGATCCCTGAAAGGCAGGCTTTGCTTGATAGTTACACAAAGAAACGGTGAGTTTGTCTCCTATGGAGACTGAATTCATGTGCTGCTGGCTGAGAGCCAGCAGACAGCAAAGTTACATTGAGACAAAATGGCTACAGGAGAGCAGCGTGGAAGCAAAAAAGAGAACAAGACAACAGAGAGAAGACTGAGAGATGAACTGAGAAGATGGCTGCGTGACTCGGCTCTTTTGTGGAGTCAGCCAGGGCCATGCCCATCTCCCAGGTCACATGCAGGGGAAGGAAGCTCCAGACCAGTGGAACAGGAAGTTACACTGACTGGATGTACCCCTGCTTGTGCCCACTCTAGGGAAATAAGGAATTTTGCATTTGACTGTACTGATGGATTGTTGTTGTTTAGTTGTTTAGTCGTGTCTGACTCTTCGTGACCCCATGGACCAGAGTACGCTAGGCACTCCTGTCTTCCACTGCCTCCCGCAGTTTGGTCAAACTCATGCTGGTAGCTTCGAGAACACTGTCCAACCATCTCATCCTCCGTCGTCCCCTTCTCCTTGCGCCCTCAATCTTTCCCAACATCAGGGTCTTTTCCAGGGAGTCTTCTCTTCTCATGAGGTGGCTAAAGTATTGGAGCCTCAGCTTCAGGATCTGTCCTTCCAGTGAGCACTCAGGGCTGATTTCCTTCAGAATGGATAGGTTTGATCTTCTTGCAGTCCATGGGACTCTCAAGAATCTCCTCCAACACCATAATTAAAAAGCATCCATTCTTCGGCGATCAGCCTTCTTTATGGTCCAGCTCTCACTTCCATACTTCAGTACTGGGAAAACCATAGCTTTAACCATATGGATTACATCCCACAAAAAGGACACCTCCTTGGTTCCATTTTCAGGGGGGCTGGATTTGACCTATAAAGCCCATCTCTGGACACTTTCATGACATATGACACATACCTTCCCAGGGCATTCCTGGAATTACAGAAGCCATCCCGGCTTCTGATTTGATCCCAGAAGATCCTGTTTCCCCCCTCTCCAGTATCATCACCCAGAGGCGGAGCTATCTGCTCTGGCACCTGGAGCAGCGCACTTTCTGTGTACCCATGGGTGGGGCTAGCCATGAGCGGCGAGCGGCCCGGGGGGTGCTGCCCATGGCGAGCGTCCCAGGGAGGCAGCACGGTGATGTGACCCCCAATCAGGGGTGACACCCAGGGTGGACCGCACCGACCTCACCCCACTTCCTCCATCAGTGTCACTGCCAAGCTCAAAAGTCGAGGATGAGCTAGTGCTTGCAGCCAACTCTGGTGCTTGTGATTGTGCTGCGCTCTCACGCCAGTCAGCTGGCTCCCATGAAACCATTGCACCAAAAGCATGGTACGCCCTGATTTTCAAGAAGAAGAAGAAGAGGAGGAGTTTGGATTTGATATCCCGCTTTATCACTACCCTAAGGAGTCTCAAAGCGGCAAACATTCTCCTTTCCCTTCCTCCCCCACAACAAACACTCTGTGAGGTGAGTGGGGCTGAGAGACTTCAGAGAAGTGTGACTGGCCCAAGGTTACCCAGCAGCTGCATGTGGAGGAGCGGGGAATCGAACCCGGTTCACCAGATTACGAGTCTACCACTCTTAACCACTACACCACACTGGCATGTTGGATGACATCCTGAGCCTTTGTAGGTGGAGTCCCAGGCCAGGTGCAAATAAGCCAGGCAAAGTAGGGAACAGGTTTATTGCAGGACTCACAACCAGCTCCTACATAAAGCTTAAATAAATAGGCCAAGTTCGAAGGCAACTACTTCTGCCTTACAACTGATGGCTCTGAGAAGAAGATGATGCTCAATTCTATTTGTACCATAAGCAAGGATGGGCTAATGTGTTAATTCTGGTTTTGCTCAGTTTCTCCGCATCAGTTGTGTGTGGGTTTTTTAAAGTCCTAGCGATAATTCATCAGTATTCAAGTACAAATTTATCCTAATATACACATATTTGTATACATTTTTTGCCTAATATACACAAAGCAACTTTTCGAAATACAATGTGTTTCTCTGCTATATGCATTTTTGTGCATGTTGCTCGACTGGAGAACTTTGTCGCCATATTCGGTGAGGTGTGAGTTCTGAAGGATCGCTGTGTTTCAGTTCACATATTGTTTTGGAGTGTCCACATTAGGCAGGTTTGCCTTTAGATGTGAATTTCGCCAACATCCTAACGAAAAGACACATCCAGAAATGGTTTGGTAAATCATTGCGGACGTGTATTCTCATGTTGCCCATGCAATTTGCGTGTGAATGTAGATCTTTGTTGCTGCATTAGGGATTAAGCCCCTACACAAACACACACACACTCATAGAATAGTAGTCCA